TGGCAAGCGCAAGGTCCTGAGTTCCAATCCCGAAAAAAAAAAAAAAAAAAAAAAAAAAAAAAAAAAAAAGAAGAAAGAAAGAAAGAAAAAGAAATAATGGGGGCCGGGGAGATGACTCAGTGGAATAAGTGCTTCCCATTTCCACACACACACAAAAAGATGATGACACCCAAGCCCTATAAAGAAAGGATGGATGAAAAGGCCTAGACAGGGAGCTATGCATTGGCTGCGTTGGTTTATGTATTCATTCCATTCGCCAAGCATTTGAATGCCCACTTCATAAATGGGAAGGGTCTCTCCACTGCAGGAACAATAACCTTGCCACCACAAGGTCATCTCTGGTCCCCAAACAGCTCCCCTCCCCTGGCTGAATGACATTAAAGAAAAAAAAGACCCTATTAAGAAACAATAAATGGGCTGGCCAGATAGCTCAGCAGACGAGAAAGTTCCTGGTTAGCACTTGGATCCCCTGCGCGCAGTGCCAGCCCTGCCCCCCAGGGCGTGCTTGAACACCATTGGGACTGGGTGTGGTGGTATATGCCTATAATCCCAGCGTTTGAAAACAGGAGAATCACTACAAGTCTGATTTATGTAGTGAGACCCTGTAGACCCTGTACTAAATATATTAAAAAAAAAAAAAGAATAAATGAATGACCCTAGTTAAACCATGGTTAAGTAAGATGACCCCATGACAAGAGTAAGGAACCTGATCAGGTATTGAGGTTGAGCAGATGTTAAGGGTGGGGGATTCTAGTTAAGACACCTTAGCAAGTGTTAAATAGAAATCACAGGAGGCCATTGTTTTGAACTAAGTTCCATGCTAAAAATCTAATTGGAGTCACTCTCATTACATTTCCTTATCATCAATTAATGACTAATGAAACTGAAATAAAGATTACAGAGATAACAGCCAAATTTCCCCCCAAATACCACTTTCAATTGGCATGATAACCAAGATCCCTCTGCTTTAATCCCAACATAAATGAAGAAATGAAAAATAAGCTGATGTAAACCAGTCAGGTATTTTCCTATTGTTCTGTCTTTCTATCCCCACCTTCCAAAAAAGGTACTTTATTTATTTATTTTTGCGGAACCGGGGATTGAACTAGGGCCCTCGCGCTTGCCAGGAAAGCGCTTATTCTACTGAGCCATCTCCCCGGCCCTAGAAAGTCACTTTAAAAATGACAAAATTACTTCACTTTTTGTTTCTATTTCTGTTTTACTTGAGCACTTCTCTTTCTATAAAACTAGAGTTATAAAACTAAGAGCTAGGACCATCAGTACTCTTTATTTTGTGGAATGAAGTGTTGTCTGATTCTAGAATGGAAAATAAAGCTTGTTAAATTTTTATTTTATTTTATTTTGAGATAGGGTCTTATTATGTGGCCCAAGCTGGCTTTAAACTCACTTTGATCCTCCTGCTTTAGCCTCCCAAGTGCTGGGATTACAAGCATATGTCATCATATTTGACTAATCAAACTAAATTATTGTCATTTAAATGTCCTTTGACAGAACTATAACTAAAATTGGACAATGCAGATGAATACAGAAGATTGAAAGTTGAGGCCTACTTGAAAAAGAGCCCAGGACAGCCTGGTTTTCATTAGTAGTGAATCTCTTTTAATGGCCTGTCTTGAGGGGTCACAGGTCAAGACCAAGGGAGCCTGGCCCTCCTCCGCTCCTCTGACAGTTCCTCCCCAGGGAGGGATGTGGCATCCTTAACCTGGAGCTAGCTATAGTGGCGAGAGCTGGCCAACACCCACCGGCCTCCCTCACATCCTGTTGCAAGGCCCAAGATGATATGTCACCCCTAACCAAAGACAAGGTGCCCCCGTCTTCACCATGCACAGACTTTCCCAACCAGCGGGCCTCCATTTGCTCCCTTGATGTGTTTATCTGGAAGCTGGGGCTCTATGGAACCGGAAGTAGCTGGGTGCAGCCTTGACCTGTGGCGGAGGCCATACATGAGTTGTTTCACCCCTCTGGACCTAATTCCCAGAGTTGGCAGCAAAGTTATGTGTGCCTCATATAGTACGCCTACTCTTTGGTGCCATCGCGATGCACCCCAGGATGCCCTGTGGATACCAAAACCTATGGATGCTCAAGTTTCTTATATAAAATCATGTAGCATTTGCATATAACCTACTTATTTTTATTTTTTATGTATTTAGCACAGGGTCTACAGGGTTTCACTACACGGATCAGACTGGTGGTGATCCTCCTTTTTTTCAGCCTCCAAAGCGCTGGGATTACAGGCCTGGGCCACCCTCCCCCCAGACTCCATGGCTGGTCAGCGCACCTGGGGGCAGGGCTGGCATGGCAGGTGGTGCTAGGGATCCAACCCCAGTCCCTGCGCTTGCCTAAGCAGGTGCCTAGTCGGCTGAGCTATCTCGCCGGCCCTAGCAGCAAGCTTTTTATCCCATCCAGTCTTCTCGCTGGTGCTACCCATACCTAAATTGGGGTTTCTCATTATCCACACCCAGAACTATGCTAAACGAATCAGTGGACTAATTTGGTAATCATGTGCCCCTAACCCTGCCATCACACCCTTAATGGGGGCATCACACATCCTAGATCCAGGCACCTCCAAAAAGTCCCACCAGTAACTACATGGGTTTTTGGGAGGGACATCTAGGTACAAGCCATAACACCCAGTGACCTGGGCCACACAGGTGGCTTCCTGGGGCAAAAGCAGAGAATATGGGACAATGGGTCTGGAGCATGTAGTGCAATTAGTACTATACTTAGTCTTTGTCACTGGTTCCTGGGATAGAGCCCCTAACACCCTTGGAATTTCCTGAATAATCAATGGAGCATCTTTTTTTGTGTGTAGGGAGCCCCTTTTGATAATAGCTGAGTTTATCCTAATGACATGACTTCGGGGTGGCTCTAGATAGCTTCAGATAGGTTACCAGAAAGCCCAAGTGATTAGAGGGTTAGCACTTTTATACCTCCCCATTTCTGGGAAGGGGAAAAATCTAAAGATTAAACTCTCTCTCTCTCTCTCTCTCTCTCTCTCTCTCTCTCTCTCTCTCTCTCTCTCTTTTGGAGACAGGGTCTCCCCTTGTAGTGCAGGCTGGCCTTGAATTCATGGCAATTCTCCTGCCTCAGCCTCTGATGTGCTGGGATTTACAGGCTTGTGCCACCATGCCTGGCTTCTGTAAAAACTCTCGAACAATGAGATGCAATGAATTTCAATTCTGTGAATACATCGAGGTGCTAGGAAGAAGGAGTGCCCTGAGAGGACATACAGGCTCCCCACGCTCCCCACCAGTACTGCCTTCTGCAACTTTACCATCTGATTCTTTCTGATTTTTATCCTTTATAACAAACCTTTCATGAGCTCTTCAAGCAAGCTGCTGAACCTGAGGAGGTGCTAGCCATACCTAAACTGGGGTAATTGTAAAACCCCATTTTATAGCTGGTCCATAGAATACAGGAGGCCTCGATTTGCAGTCTTCATGCTTAGTGTGGGAAACACACACACACACACACACACACACACACACACACACACACGCACACACACACACACACCGTCAGCCACGTTGTGAGTGTAATCCCAAAGAGAGGAAAATAGAGAAATCCAGCTCTGGGCCGCAGGAGCTATGGAACGTGAAGGAAACCAGCACGTGCGAGCAGTATTGTTCAGGGTACTTGGGCCCTGCTCTGCGGCAGCGCAGAGCCTGCGGGGGCTCTGCCCCTCCACTCTTACCCGTAGGGGGCTGACTGGCATCTCTGTCTGCAGCACATTCAGGAATTCACCAATGACACATGGCAGGCGCGTACTGGAAGGCCACTGCCTGACCACCTGGTGCTACTTGTGTGGTCCCTCATCGTGTCTCTCTTCCCCCTGGGAGGCCTGTGTGGAGCGCTCCTTGCAGGGCCCATGGCCATCACACTGGGAAGGTAAGTGCTTCTTCTGTACCCCTGAATGTCTCTTGGTGAGGCGCACCACCATCTACAGCCTGGGGAGCGCGGGAAAAGGAAGATGCTCAGCAGACTCCATCAGTCTAGATTAGCTTCTCTGCAAGCCTCCTCGTACACTGCCTGAAATTTGACCTTAAGAGTCACATTTTCAAAGAGAAGTGGTAGAGGAAAGAGTTGTGTGCAAGGAGAAAAGGATGACTCCTGGTTTCTAGTTCTATGTCTGATGGTAGGTGCTGCTTGGTCTCCTTTTCTTTTCCTTTCTTTGCTCAGCTCTGCTTTGCTTCATTTTTTAAACATAGACGTTGCCATGTAGTTCAGGCTGACTTTAAACTCACAATGTAAAACAGGCTGGCCTTGAACTTGCAGCAGTCCTCATACCTTAGCCTCCCAGTGCTGAGATTTCGCCACCACGCCCAGCTGCTCTTTGATCTTAAGTGAGTGTTTTCTCCTGTCCCTCATTGTCCCCTCCTGGTATATCTGATTGTCTTAGTTACTGTTTACTCATTGCTGGGACTAATACCCGACACTCAAAATGAAGGAAAGAAAGGTTTATTTAGCTCACAGTTACTGGAGGGTTCAGGCCATATTCCGCTGGCTCCAAGGCAAACGACACAGTTCATGCAGCAGAAAACAAGAGCAGAGGAGAAGCAGCAGCTGAGGCGTCACAAAGCCTCTCTCTTCCTTATATGCTGACTACAAAGTCGGGCACTCAAGGGTGAATATGGTAGCTCCTCCAAAGTGGCCCGGCTGCAAAGATCCAGCTCCTAGGAAAACTGGGACTTCTCCTAGGAAGACTGGGACTTCTCTCAGCAAGCAGGGCAGGGCGGGAGGAAGTGGGGCAGGGCGACAGGAAGCCTTTCTCAGTTCCTGGGCCCTGCCCATCTGTAGGGCTAGGCCTCCACCCTGAGAACTGCTGGAGCTGATTCAGCCAAGTTGACACAATGTATCAACTAACACAATCCACCTCTTGTTTGGCAACTAGACATATACTCATATACTTTTTTTTTTTTTTTTTTTTTTTTTTTTTGCAGAACTAGGGATTGAACTCAGGGCCCTGTGCTTGCCAGGGAAGTGCTCATTCTACTGAGCTATCTCCCTGGTCCCTAGACATATACTTTTTTTAAACAATGTATCAACTTTCACTGATGTAGTTCTTTTTTTCCCTCCAGTTCTTGAGATTGAACACAAAGCCTTGGCATGGAGCTGTATCCTCAGCTCTTTTTATTTTATATTATTTTTGTTTTGTTTTGAGACATGGTTTCACTAAGTGATGAAGTTGCCTAGGTTGGATTCAGATTTGTGATTCTTCTACCTCAGAATTCCAGAGGGATTACAGGTGTGTACCACCACATCTGGTGCTAGTGCTATTCTTACACTGCCAGCAGAGAATATGCTTTGACCTAATCTAATTAAAAAATGTATAGAGCCAGCCAAATAGCTCAGCAGATTAAAGCCATGCAAGCAGGTGCAGGCATGGGTTGGGGGTGGGGGTGGGAGGGGTGGGGAATGGGGTTGGGATTCAATCCTGGGGCCTGCCATGCTGGGCAGGGCATGCTGAGGCAGCAACTGTGACTGGGCATGGTGTCACATGCCTGTAATCCCTGCTCTTGGGAGGTTGTAAACAGAAGAATCACTACAAGTCCCGTCTAGTAGTGAGACCCTGAACACCCTATAGACCCTTCTTCTCTTAAAAAAAAAATGTAATAACTAGCCTGGCATGGTGGTGCATGCCTGTAAGCCTGCATGTGTGAGGCTGAGGCAGAAGGATCATTTTGAATTTGAGGCCAGCCTGGGCTACAGAGTGAGCTCAAGGCCAGCCTGAACTACATAGTGAGCCCCTGTCTCAAAAAAGACCAAAAAATAAAAATAAATAACTGGAAGGATACTGAGGTAGTTCATAGAATGGAAAAAAAGTGCTTAAAATCCATTCTTTAAGAAGGACATGGATCTGGGCATGGTGGCACACATCTGTAATCCCAGCACTTGGGAGACAGTTTGTAGCCAGCCTGAATGGCATAGTGAGACCCTGTCTAAAAAAAAACTGAGGAGGACAATTTAAGTAGAAGCAATAAAAAGCATAAATATATATATACACCAAATACCACCACACCCAACTATATAGAACAAATAGTAATGGACATGAAAAAATCAACTACTAGCACAACTATAATGGGGGACCTCAGTATCCCACTGTCACAGACAGCTTAATTACACAGAAGAGTCAGCAAAAAACATATCAGAACTGAACCAAACTTCTGAACAAATGGACTTAGCAGATGTCTATAGAATGTTTCACCCCACAACATCAGAATATACATTCCTCTCTGCTACACGTGGGACCTTCTCCACAACAGACCACACGCTAACTCACTCATAGAACCTGCTTAAGGAAATGCAAAGGAATGAAAATGATCTTATGCATATTTTCAGACCATAATATCCTGAAATTGGAAATCAATCGCAAAAGAAACAACAAAACTTCATAAACACATGGAAATTAGCTAACACCCTCCTCAACAGCCAATGGGTCACAGATGAAATTAAAGAAGAAATCAGGCAGTTTCTACACTTAAATGATAATGCCAGGACAACATACTGGAACTTGTGGGATACCATGAAAGTAGTCCTATGAGGAAAATTTATAGTGGTGAATTCTTATATCAGGAAAACAGAGTCAGCTCAAATAAACAATGTTGAACCTCAGACTTCTAGGAAAGGAAGAGCTAGTCAAGCCCAAATCTTGTATATGGGAGGAAATTATAAAAATCAGAGCAGAAATTAGTGGAATGGAGACTAAGAAAACAACATAAAGAGTCAATGAAGGGGCTGGGGAATTAGCACAGTAGAATAAGTGCTTGCCTGGCAAGTCTAAGGGCCTGAGTTCAATCTCCAGTTCTGCCAAAAAACAAAAA